CAATCAGAGCACCAGGCTTTGAGTAATGAAGTCAAGTCTCCCAGGTAGAAATCTAAGCAGAAGTTATTCTTATTTTCTTCTAACATCAAGGAGGCTACAAAAAAAAATTTCCTCTCATTGCAGCTGCAGAAAATGTTCTTTTCTGGAGGCATTTACATGCATTCTGAAGAGGACATAAAGAAGTGCCTCTCCAGCAAGGAGCAATTATAGGTAGCAACAAATAGACTCGGAAGTGCAGGGGAAGTTGATGTGTCATAGAGACTGGACATTAACCAGTCACATGCAAATAAATAAAAAATTATTTTCAATTAGCCCAGCACTTTGTTACACGAGAGGGAGACCAGCATAACACGAAAAAAGACTGATTCAGCTTTTGATGTAGCAAGAAGTAAAGAATGATGCAGAATCGGAACAAAGCTACTGCCCTCCACCACGCATCATGAAGTGATACAGTCAAGGAGTGGCTCTTACTGAGCCTGCACCACAGCACTTGGATTTCAGAGCTCTAAAGTTGTGAACTAACTAACTGAACCTCTTTTTCCTCCTCAGTAGCCTGTGTCAGGTAGTTCATGACAGTGATGAAGAGCTAATACATGTAGAATCTCATGTTTTTTCTTTTCCTCCTATTTCAAACATTATAAAATTTCTTTGTTTAATAATCTAACACTTCCATACTGAAGATTTGTGGAGTTCTAAGGCAAAAACAAGCTTTACAGTAGCTTTTACTTGTTTTTTTTTTTTAATCAAGCATTGAGCTATTAGAGATGGAGATGAAAGCACATTAGAACTGGTTAAATAACAATAGAAGCAGGATTATAAAATTCAATCCAAGCACCGGGTCTTGTGTCATTAAAGGCAAGCTAACTTTATGGACAATCGCAGTACCAGACAGTCAGGTGCCATTTTGAATTTGCTTTTCTGGAAGGCACATTCTTTCTTGTTCCTGTTCTCTGCTCAGAAATGATATTAACTTGATAAGATGAAACTACCCTTGATAAAAAAAAGGCACGAGCAGTCATGACAGTCACATCCATGGTGTCTTAAATTGGGAGAGTTTCAGCGTTTCTATAGGATTACTGCAGGGCATTCAGGGCCATGCTACTTAAATACTCATACAGTCAACAGCTGTCAGGCTGCCAACAAACTGTATTTCTTGGGAGCAGCTGTGTCTGCTGTCACCAGCTTCTTTCACACAATCTCCATAAGCCAGTGGCAAGTATGTTCTTCCCTGTATTATTAAAAGATCACTGCAGGGGACATATGAATGGGGGATGCTCTTTTATTAGAAAACTGAAGGAAATAGAGTGAAAAATTAAAAGGGATGTGTATTAACTGTATTAGAAAATTATCACCGATAGCTACATGAGAGAAATTCATCTCTTAATTCTATTTCTTAGTTTTCATCACATGCTTGCAGGTAGGGATGAAGTATGAATATTCAAAAACTGAAGTGGTCGTCTTCCAACCACAACTCATTACAGTCCGCTGTACCGTTTCCCTTCTCTTCCTCTAGAACTTAAATCCAGTTGTCTCCAGAGCGGTGGCAACTGTTGACATCTGAAGAATTTCAGTAGGTTTTAAGAGATCTCTGAGGTTCCATAAAGAAAAATGAAAAAGATGAAAACTAACTTGTTTTGTCCATGATATTCATTAAGAATTTACCTTCCTAGTTTTCATTCTTTTCTTTCTTTCGCCATCTATCCTCTTCTGTCCTAAATGGAAAATGGAGTTGTTTCAACAATGAAGCAAGTTGAAGAAGCGGAGGAGATTAGACCAACATGTCCCAGAGGAGCTACCAACTAATATGAATGGTTTCCATTTTCAAGGTCTCAGAATAATCCACACATCTCAAATCATGCTTTGGCCACTGTATAACTCACAAGGCAGGAGGAAATGATTTTCAGTGGTTCACAAACATCTTCAGGATCCCCTACAAAAATACAGTCTATCCAAGCAGATTAAATTACTCCACTGTCCTGCCTACCATCTTCATCCCTCTACTTCTTCTCAATTCCCAACATCTATTTTATTATGCTTGCCTCCAAAATCTTCAACCCACTACGGACAAATTTACAAGTACCCATCTTCCAATTAACTGCCAACCGCCTCTCATCAGTGTAGACACTGATGTTGATGTCAACTGACACCGAGTTAAGACCCAGCTAAAGGGATGATGTTGTGTCACTCAGGGGCAGTGACTCCAGGCTCATCCTGGAGAGCAGAAGGAGAAGAAGCCACGTGGACTGAACGCTGGGCAAGACTTCTATATCAAGGATCTCAGACAGTTAGGACAGCTTCTGGTTGTGCTGCTTGAATTCAGGGTTGAAATCAAATCCTTTCCTGCCTCGCCTGGGAACAAGTGCCTAAACAGGTGGCATATGAGACATTGTCATTCTGCTACGATAGGGAAACGCCAGGAGAGAATATTCTGGTGGAAATAATCATCCCACAAATACCCAAGGGTGCTCATGGCATTTCCAAGTGAAATATCCACCCGGCTTAGACTTTAGCAGAAAATAAAAACCAGGTAAATCATACCAGAGGGAACAGTCAGAACAAAACTTAAAGCAAAATATTTTCTAACATCTGCAGCCAAGTGCTCTGCTAGAAAATGCGAAAGATGGATTCCCTCTGGTAGCAAATGAGAAATTCAGTGGATGTATTTACAATGCTCTGTATATATTCATTGGAACATATGGCTCAATGAATTATTCTACATGATAAATCTCCACTGAGGCAGCCTGCTACCCACTCAGGCCTTGAACCTTCTGAAAGTGGCAAAACCTCCTGCCAAGCAGTGTCATTCAGAAGAACAGAGGGTAAGAGAAAATAAATTGCATGCAGCAGTGGTTATTTGAGGATGCTCTTATGATCTATATAAAGCCAGGGGAGATGATTCTGTCGGGCTTCATCTGAGAGTTCTATGGGGGTGGGGGCATTTAACACCCCCAACCCCACCACCCCCCGCATCAGAGGCTGCAGGGGAAGCAGGTAGTAATTAGTAGGCAGACTCTAGTTTCCAGACACATCCCAATCTGCTTCCATCGGGCTGGGTTTGTAGAAGTCTGGATCTCTTCCAACATGCTCTTGGCTCTGTGGCCTGATTATCCAGAGCGGTGTTAATGAACAAGATGTGCTGATTTACATAGGAGACACACTCTTGCACTGAGGAGCTCCTTGGTGGCTGACTTGCTATACCTGGCTGTGAAGACGGTGCTCTGCTGAATGACTCCAGGGTGAGGGATCTGCAAAGGCTGGAGGTGGGCCGTGAGGAAGACAGAATACAACTTCCATGGGACAACAGTAGCCATAAGGTGTGCCCAGAGTGCAAAGCCAAACTTTAGGTGACTAATGTCTTTATAGTTTTATCATCCGTAAAGGGCTTTTCATTGACTTCTCACCCCAGCCACAAGGTAAGTAGCATGACTATCCTTCATCACAGCTCAGAGGGCAGGTGCCTGCTTCTGAGTCTTAAATTGTTTTGTATAAATAAATAGATGGAGATGGACGTGGAGATGGAGATCCATATAGAGGTATAGGCAGACTCTGGGACAGAAAGGAATTACAGTGCTACACATTTCCATGTTGTTGTTTTTTTAAACTACCTCTAACATATAGACTTCTCAGAGAGTTACTGCCAGAATAATTGTGGGAAGACTGAAAAATTGTAAATTTATATCTAATGATTAGCTGAATTCATTTTTTTAAATGAGGTCTCAAAAACTCTACTTTAAAATATAAACCAAGAAATCAGAGTAACAAGTTGGTGTTTCCATTGATGATAGTTGCAAAGTTGTGCTCTTACATTAGAAAACTTGTATGTAAGTGAAAACATAATTTTGAGACTTATGGTATCTTTTAAAAAGTGGAAAATATATTTTTATGATTATAAAATTTAATATTTACAAAGGTTTAGATTCCCAGGAAGCCTAAATTCTGCTCCATAGGCCAAGTGGCGAGGAAAGTCCAAAAAATGAGGCCCAAGCAATGATCTGGTGACGACCAGAACAAAACTATCATCTAAAAAATGAAGTATCATCTTTCACCCTCTGCAGACTATTATGTCCTCACTGTTAGGATCAGAACTCATCCAGTAGTTTCTATCTGGCTACGGTGCCTCATCCCTGCAGATGCCAGGTCCACTGAATGAGTGGACACTGAATGAGCTGGTTCTGCACGAGAAGGGCGCACACACCCCCTACCCTGCATGTGGCCGTAGTGATGCAGGCTCCACTCACTGGGGCGCTGGTCACAGGCCCTGCACGCTTCTTCATGCCTTTGGAGTGGCTTCCACGCCTGCAAGGCTATCTGTGGATGAAAGCAGTGAGGGGGCCAGTAAGGACCTGCTCCAGCTGACCACAGGTCTGCAGTGACTACCCCGTTTACGAAGTTCACCAATACAGAAAGCTGAGATGCATGGCTCAGGTCTGAGCTGATTCCAACACTCATGCTGAAAATACAATCTAAGTGAAGGAGCACACAGATTCATCAAAAGAAACCACCACGGTAGCTGTAGATAAACACAATGAACTTCCATTCTGAAAACACATGCATAAAAAAAGGATGGAGTCTTCTAACCAAAAACAGACAAATACATTATCACTGACTTAGGGGGAGGGGTGTAAGTAGGCCGGCAAAAGCCCTGCCCTGAGCCTCTGAAACAAAGTGCTAGAATTTCTAAAATAGCACCACAAAATAGATTGCTAGGGCGAAAAGTATTTTAAGAGAGACAGACCTGATTCTAAGCCTGAATTTGTTTCTTTAACTACAGGCCTTGGAAAATTTATCTAATATCAGTTTTTTTTTCCATCTGTTAAAAAAACAAACATTATAAATGATATTTTATAATATTGTAAATAATATTATAAATAAAATATTTAGCTCCAGAACTGACATAGAGTTAACACAGTGACATTTGCTTTAGGTGCTTGGGTAGAGAAGACACTGAGACATGAGATTCAGTGATATCAGAGACAGAGAAGCAGCAAAGGTACTCGAAGTCTATTTTACTTCCATTTCTTTAATAAGGAGAGCGACACTTGCATTAGAAATGATAGAACATGCTTGGCCACCAGGGGACTAGATTACAAATTAAACAACGACTTGCTAAGAAAAAGCTGGGTTGCTTTAAATTACCTTCAAGTCTCCAAGTGCAGGTGAAATACACACAAGGGTGGGGAAGGGGTATCCACGGGCGATTGCAGAATGGCTAGGGGCAACTGTCTAGACAATGAGAGAGGATTCAGAAAAACTGAGAGTCAAAAATTTATTCAATTTTCATAAGTGAGATAAAGTGGATTCTGGGAAGTACAGCACACAGCATTCTGTCAGCCTTTGAGCACCGCCTGCTCTGTCTCTTGTTCTGCCCCGACAGGATCTGATCTCCTTCCAGAGCCACCAACCAAGACAAGGTAAATGGCAGTCTTACCTACAGTGAGAATTAGAATGGAGTCCTTTATGTACATGCAAAGTCTCATGGCCGTTTCTCAATGCCCCTGTCCCTGCCATCTCCAAATGCTCTGATAACTTCATATCCACCTCTGGCAAAATTTGAGAGCAGAACTTTTAATTTATATATTACAGACATTTTTTAGATAAAAGCAATTACTAGCCGCTCCATGGTTCCTCTGAGAACAGACCATGCCAACTTCATTTTCTTTGCAACAGGATCCCTACATTAGCAAAGATGAATAACCTACACAAGTAAATACAAATTTCAGGGGAAACAAATAACAAATTTCCCCATGATTCCTTAGGAGACATGGAGGTTGGATGATAGCGGAATTCAAGCGATTAATAGCTGTGTGAACAAAATCCAAACGATATTAATAAATTGATATCAGCTCAATGTAGAAAGCTAGTTGAAACACTCCACCCTGCCCTGTCCAACTTCAATCAGTGATTTAATTATCATAGAAGGTATTTTTAGAAAATGTGCAGACATCTTTATTGAATGTATTGATGATACATCTTAAAAGATGGGTCCATTTAACAATAAATTTATAAACTTTGTGTTGGGTTCTAAAGCAGGTTGTAGCTAAGAGTGTATAACTTGACGAGAATAAATATCAACAATGAGTATCCTTTGACAATCAACTATTCAATTTAAAAGCAGTCTTTATTTAAAAAAAAAAAATCACCCACACTGACATAACTACACATAACTGCCAAAATAGCTAAGGTGACCTTGAGTTGTAGGTAGATTGCAATGCCACCAAAGGAAACGTGACCATCCCACTATGATGTGACTTTTCCCCTCAAAATCTGGAACACTGTCCTTTGCTCTGGGCTCCCCATCTCCGAAGACACCACCACGCGAGGGTTGACCACAAGACAGCGACTTAAATAATGAAGGGGCCACAAATAGGAAGACGCATTTCAGCCCAGTACAAATCCGAGGAAAGGAAGTTGGAGCGTTCTTAGAAGGCGCGTGCCCTGAGGTCCCACGGGTGGGTTGAAGTGACCCCTGCCTGGCGCTGGAGCAGGCTGCTCCCTGTCACTCCCTTTCCCCCATCCATGCCCCACCGGTGCGTACTGTCCAGCGAATTCAGAGTGTGAAGGTTCCCTGTCTGCAGCGCAGCAGATTTCCTTTTCCTACTAACCCAATGGTATATATTTAAAACTAAAGGAGGCCCTTTATGGAAATATCAGCAGGTTTCCTGAATGTTCGCCCATCTTCCCAGGCACCCCAGAGAGCCAAGCTTGTCCATCCCTCAGCTGTGACCCCTGCCCTGGTTTTTTTTACATGGAGAAAAACTGAAGTTGCAGCCGGTCACACTCAGGCTTGCTTGACTTCCCAGCTGCAGCACACGCCTCCAGAGAGGTTCCTGGCTGGTGTCACGAGCATCGATATCTGAGCGGCCCTCGGGATGATTACACCGTCCCTGGCTCCCCTGGCGTCCACCGCCCAGAGCATGCCCAGGGCTCACCGCAGGCAAACTCGTTCTGATCAGTGCAGCACCGGCGTACAGCCTGCGTTCACAGAGCCCAAGGCAACCGGGGTCCCAGGACGCTCCAACCGCAGGCAGGATTTCAGCTTTATTAGGTAACTGTCAAAATTGCCTTGGTGTCTCCTAAAACTTTAAATTGGGAGAAAATATAAATGCAGGAAAGCCATGCTAAGTTAACTCAGCAATCTGTCCTAATAAGCATGTGCAGGATGCACGTGCATTATGGAAATCAGATGGAGAGCAGTAACAGGGGCAGAAACGTGCATGTGGTGAGATCGCAAAAACGCAAGTGTCATACCTCAGATGTGGTTTTCTTTTTAAACAGTCTGGTCAAGTTTCCTGCTTAACATATTTGAGGAGCCACTATTGGCCATAATACATTATTTTTTCAAAGAACACAATGCTTCGAACACAGTTAAAAACCTAAGATAGTCTACTCATGGGAAGGAGACAAATGGCTGAGGTGCAGGTGATGGGACATTTGCTTTCTCTGCTGTTGGGTTCCAGGGAGGAACATTATGATCAACCTCCATGCAGTGTCTTTGTCTCTGTATACGGGTCCCTCTGTGCATTCATTCCAAACCTTTTTTTTTTAATCTTGAGTTCTAAAAGGAAAGAACCCATGAGTCCACATGTAAAGGCTTCCTTTTGTACAAGGTCAGGAGGAGAAGGGCAGGATTTAGCCAGTAGAAAGGAGTTAAAATGGGTGTTTAAAACCTGTTGGAAAAAATTCTTTACATAAAAAGTTGTGCTTTTTAGCCAACAGAAGCCTTGACAAGTTATTTTATGTATATACAAATAGTTTCCTTGGTATCAGCAGAACATACTGGAATGAGACCAACAAAACCCTGTGGGGGGAAAAAGAAAAGAAAAAACTTGACTTTCCACAGGATGCACTCTGAAGAGAAGGAGACAGGGGTCCATAAGACCAGGAAAAGGAGAGGAGAAGGGGAGAGATCTCAGAGAAATGGCAAGGAAACTGGGCTCCAAGCAGTGCCTGGCGGTGACTTGGCCCCACCTCAGGACAGGGACAAGCAACGGGAAAAATGAACATCTCTCCATTGTGCTCTAAGAAAACATGCCATCCTCTCCCAGAAGGACCCTCTCCTTCCTGAGAGCCTGCTCCCACTCTGTCTCCTGTGCAGCTAAAGATAAGGACAGTGGTGGGGAAGCTGAATCACCCACTGGATTGACTCAGAACCAAGAAGTAGAAATAGAAAAGCCCATCAGTGGAAAAGACCACTGAAGAATGTATTAGATTCAACCACACTGGAAAGGAGATTCTGTCTGAAACTCTTAGGAAATCTTGTTTAGCAAACCAGAGATGAAGTTGAGGTGGACAAATGCTTGACCACTTTTTTTTATTTAACATCACCTAAGGAATGACCAAACATGCGAAAGAACCTGGAGACATAGGATCACCTGAAATATGGAGTAGGTACACAAAAACTGGCCGTTGGCATTTGACTGTCAGTAGTATGGAAATAGAACAGCTGATCTCACCCTGTGTCTTAGAGACTCTTTAAGGTCTGACATGGGGCAGGAGAAGGGATACAGGCGGGTTGAATGGCAGTGACTTTGCCTCCTTGAAGTTACTTCAGTCAAAACAACTCAGATTTGCATGGTTTGCAAACGAGGTTCTGTGTAATATTTCAGTTTTTAACAAGGGCCCTCATCTTATTATGTAAGGATAAGTAAATGTTTTAAAAGCATAAATACCACTGCTAAAAATGCCTAAACATTGGCTGAAGTATTTATAGCTTGTGATATAATTTGTGCTTTTCTGAAGAGAAGCAGATAGGAAGGGGAGAGATGAAAGAAGAATAGGAAGAAGGCTGGTGGCCAGTCATTAAACTCAAATTCTGCTTAATGGACGCTTTATTATGCAAAATTCCACCTTTTTGTCCCAACTTAGAAGTTTTATCCTTCAAGATTCTATCTCATGAAGTGGTTTTGTGGAAATTTCTGTAGCATCCAGATGAATAAATTTCCATTTTGTATTCCCAAGCACTCGTGAATACAGCACAGTGTTTTTGCTGACAATAGGTGACTCTTTCCTTCTTCTTCTCCAACATACATCTGGATCTCCACTCTCATCCTCACTTACAATTAGCTGTGACCATGTGGCTGAGTTCTTAGTCAACAGAATGTGAGGCGGGGTAAAGTCCAGACCACTTCCAGGTCTGGACCATGCATAGCCTTTTGCCATCCACCTGCTGGGTATTGATTCCCCAGACAATCTTAATCCTCAAACTGATGATGGCAGAGCCTCTGAGCCTGGGTCCTGACTGCCTGTGCAGAGCAAAGCACCTGGGCAACCTGGAACTGCCCCTGCACTTTTGAGCCATTAAAGTACCTTGGGGTTCACTTGTTATAGCAACTGATGCTACCTTAATTAGTACAAATGTGCCAGCTCCCTGACCTACTTTCTTCTTTTCCTTTGCCATTTAAAAACTTCAGATGTATTTTATTAGTGGTGTCAATTGATGTTTCATAGGAACAATGAATTTGGTATTGATTTATATCAGACATGGAGACAAAATCCTATTCCATTTAGGGGCCATAGAGAAGCCTATAAATTTATCAAAATATATTTTCTGATAAGACTTTTATACACCACCAATATGATAGTATGGGAGAGTTGAAAATTCTTTTCTTTGAAAAAAATTTTCCAGCTGTTTTTTTTTCTAGCCAATTATTCACTTCCTTACCCAATAAGGATAAAGGTATCCAATAATACTTTTATGCCTTAGCATTGGTGAAATACTAAGCAGCTTGACATTGGATTGCACACTGCCTCTCTTAGTTTGTTGATGGAGATGTAGAAGAACAAAATCACATGTTGGTTATTTTGGGTGGTTTGCAAGCTCTATTTTGGAATATTTTAGTTGTTATTCTCCATCATTGCAGCATGCTCATTTATTCTCAAATTCTTATTTCATTTGCAATAATTTATAGTTCTTTAATAAGTAAGAACCATTGTACATACTCATATATTTTAATTTATATGTTTTTCTTTAGACACATTCAGAATAAACTACCTACGGAATGGTGGGCAACCTTTTGAATTTTTCTTTGAGGGTAAAGAAAATCTGACCAAAGGAATTAATTGATTCTATGGGTAACATAAGATTCTGCATTTTTTTTTCTAGAGGGCCAAGGAGAGAGGCAAGCAGTAAAAAATTAAATACAGCTTGTCCAAAGGAATCTGCTACAATATATTGTGGAGTACTCAGAAACCACAAGTGTACAATGAAAAATAATGCTTATACATCAGGTCGTCTTTGGTGAGACAGTTATTAAAACTCATTTCAATGTCAGAAGACCTGTTTTCAGGAAGGTTTTTATTTTCTCTAATTCTTTTCCTGTCTCATCCCTAAAATACGAACATAAAATCAATGAAGATGTGAAAAACAATGAAGCAGTTAGCTGAGGCTTCTCCAGCTTTAGTTCTAAACCACAGCTCTAACCTAGAGCAGTGTTTAAATTTTCCTTACATAGTGGGAAGATGGAGAGAGAAGGAAGGAGTCACTGGACGTGAGGTTTAACCTCTCCACTTATCGCATAATGCATAATGATCATTGAGTAATCTGACTTCCCTTTCTCAGTTTAATGGAAAATATATGTTATCACTTCTTTCTGTGCAGAAGTACAAATAAAACATCTTCTAAATGGCATTCCTTTAATGGGGATAAGCAGGTGACCTCACGCCAGTCTCAGTTCAGACAGTGGTTTCATCTCTTTACCAAAGAAATACACTTAAAAGCGCATTTAGCTTAGAGGAGGCTAACAATAATGCCTGCCTAATAAGAACAGTTTCTTAGTATCTTCACAGGCCCCAAAGACAAAGTGCATAACAAGTGCAAAGAAGTCGCCGGCGTGTATCTTCTGTGGATGGTGATTGATCCAGGCCCATAATGAAGTGAAAGCTTTTTTAGAGCCAAAGCAATTCTTGCCCACATCCTTTATCAGGAGAAAGCATAATGAATTGTGTTAGTTGCCAGCACTTATTGAAAATTTCATCTAAGAATGTTGGCCAGATGTCACTATATCAGAATGAAGTGCAGCCTGAGAGGTTCTGTTAATGTACAGAATCTCTCTCCATCACTGTTTTCAAGTTGGTGTGGGTCTGCCCTGAAAAAGAGAAAAAAAAAAGAGGTTTAACCTACAATTGGTTAGTGCTTTGTGCACCTTACCTTTTAGTTTTTCTCTTATAAGAAAACTACCTAAAGCCCATATGCAGTTTCTAAGTATGCGTTAGTCTAATTAAATGAAACAAAAAAATATTTTTAAAACCTTACATGGACCTCTCAATGTAAAAACATTTAGTATTACTTGGAAGCCAAAACCCATTTTAGTAATTCTTTCAGATCTTTCTGGGTGGTGAAAGTGTGAAAAAGGTATAAATATTGCTTATCATTCTAAAAAGAAAATGAATATGGAAATCATTTGGTGAAAAAAAAACATTTTCATTTAAAGAAAAAGGTTATATTGAATGGATTCCCATCCTAATATGTTGGAATCATGCGATATGTCCCACTTCTACATTATTACATGTCATCAGACATAATCACCTCCCTTGACTTGATAAATCTCATAGAATTACTGTCAAGCTATATTTGGTTGAGAGATCTGTTTATATAAAACTGATTTGTAGTTTTGCAGCTAAGTAAAAAGATAAATCCATCTGCTGTCTGTCATCTCACCTTTTTATGAAAGTCTGCAGGATGAAGTCTAGATTATATAAAAAAAAAATTCTTTCTTTGGCTGCTCTATTTCATTTATTAAACCAGAGTTTTTAGTTTTAAAATGGAATGTTCTCTCAACTGTGCCTAGAAAAGCCACTAATTCTTATTTATAGCATCAGCATATTTAAGTTGACTACATATATTCACATGCAAAGCAGGTCACTAGCTTTAGACAAGGGTCACACCATGAGAATCATTATGTGTCAGTGCATAGCACGTAAAATTATTCAGCCTTGTTACCTACAGATCCACTTTTTACAGCACAGAAAAGTACTGCAATTTTCATCTGAAGCCCATCTAATATGTTAAGAATGTCGCATCCTAAAGTGCAACAGTCTAGGTTGTAATGAATAATATCACGGCTAAAAAGCTTTCAGGTCTCTACCAGAAGGAATATATTTATCCAAATGAAAAGCGCTGTTTGTTTTTAAAGCCTCCTACTCTACCTTTGGATTAAATTGTCTCTAAAGTGCTTGAAAAAGCCTTGATTTTTGCATATTCTATTCAATAACAGTAACTTCTAGATTATATTAAGTTAAGAAGCTAGGAATTCCAGATATGTGAAAGATACGATGTATATGTGTACATGTGCTGACGTGTCACCTGGCTTGTGATGAGGTTGATGGTTGTGAAATGTTCTGACTGATGTTGCCATGTCAGATTCTGTTTGCACAAGGAATTGAAAATAGTCATGAACTCAAACACTTTTCTTATTAATTGGCTTATTGATTCTCTTTCTATTCTGCTAGACCAAATGTTTTTAGTACTATTACACTGGAATAAGGGAACTTATGATCTATACACATATAAGTGCCTGGGTCCGTGAGTATGCATGTGTCTGAAACTATGCACACCCAACTCTTTAATGTGTAGTATTTGAAACTTAAAACTTTAATGCAAACATACTAATTAGTGTTTCAACTCATCATCAATGAACCCTGCAGCACTACCCCTGAGTGCTGGGAGACCTAAGATTTACCATCACCAAGGAATCTCATAGCTCAGAGCATGTTTGGAGGAAAAATGACTCTGTGCTGTGAGTAAGATATTTGCTGGTTCTATGACTTGAGGGAATTGCTATTTGGAGATCTCTACAGGATATTTCTGCCAAGAAAAGGATAGAATACAGTAAGGTGAATACTGGTCTTGCCCTGAAATGTGAGTCTGGCCCCAAATAATAAAAACCTGGATTTAATGCTATATAAAACACTCTTCCATACATCAAACAACTCACCTTACATGGCTTCCCTTAGGGAATGAAGCACTATGAAAGAAATAAATTTCCCCCAATACACAACACCCCCCCCAAAAAAAGCAGTGTGTCTTCTAAAAACTGAACTCACAGATCCATAGACACAAGCACAAAAAGTGAATAGTTTTTGTTCTGCCTCATTGTAAGTTAAAGGCATAACCCCGGAGGGCTAGAGCATCGCTGTCCAACTTGGGGACTGTTCCTCTGCCTGTGGAAGAGTATTTTAATAGCAACCCGTGCAACCTACTTGTCTATTCTAAAAGTTCATTACCATTCTTTTCCCTTCCCTATTTAGAGAATCGTATTTCTTGTACTTTTAATTTTGGTATTTCTTAGCACCTATAAAGGGTAGCAGGTGGTCTCTTTTGGAGCCTGAATTCTTCTGTTCGAGTGCCAACTAAATTCAGAGAGCTGTCTTTTCTCCTCTGCAGCCCCTTTCCAGAGGCAGCCGCTCTCCCTGGTGGGAGATTATCTGATGGCTTCTCTTGTTTGTCCCTAAAGACTTCACTGGCCCTGAGACTGTGGGTTCTGAGCTAAGGAATAGGTCAGGAGGAAATCTCAGCTGGCCAGCTCAACCCCCACAGCCTGACAGCACTCAGTGACGACCTGTGTTAACGCAGGACGCGTGGCGTGTGTGAAGCCCAGTACAAAACTCATCTTTTTAAGACTTTCACATTATTTTGTGTTATGACTAATGGTCAGAGATTTAAATACTTAAAAGAATGTGCTGTTCCTCTAGTTTCCCTTTCTATTCATAGGGAGGAAAAAAATCTTCATTCTAATCTTCCTGACCCCGCCCCCCATGTTTGTATTTCAGAATGCCCTTCCAGGGTAGCAGATCTGAAGAAGAACATTTCCATCATGTCTTAGTGTTTATGTAATGGGCTTTATCATAATGAAGTCTATGATAGAAGAGCTGCATCATATCTTCAATTTCTGATTTAAAGACTTTTGATTACTTCAATTTCTCTCGGTTATATCTGACTCTACCCTCTTATTAGATTAGTTACAGTTTACAAAATCTCATATCTGTGAATATTTTTCTCAGTTTGAAAATAACGCATATTCCAATTCAGGATCACTCAGGGATTGAATTTCTTATTACGTACACCAATGCTATTGCCTCATTCATTAGGTAAATTCATGCCACACGGTGCCAGGGTGGTTCCTGCTAGCCCATATAGCAGAGTCAGAAAATGGCCACCATACCACAGAAACCTCTTTCACCATGGCTTGGATGGAAGAGGATGTCTTCACACAGATTTAGAAGGAGTTCTCTCCTCACAGGGAGGCAGCTGGAGTTCAGCCAGCCAATGCGGATTACATATCCCTGCCCCACTCAGCAAGGTGCCCAGTGTGGGTCCAACCGGTACAGCGGTGTGCATGGGCCAATGCTACTCAACCAAAGTAAATATCATGACATAAGCTCCTTCGTTTTTACAGAAAAAAAAAAATTGAACTCTGCTCAGAATCCCCTTTGCTAACCAGAATCAGCTACTTTGGAAATGTTTACCATTAATGATGTGAAAGACCAGTGGAGGGATTACAAATCAGTACCAATATAATGTGTGTGTGTGTGTGTGTGTGTGTGTGTGTGTGTGTGTGTGTACAAAACAAGCTGAAACGGGATGCAGATGCAGACACAGATATGATGAGGGAGCTGATTGCCTATCAGTCATGGAGGAGACAAGACGGGCTCGGGGAGATGTCCATACCCATCCACACACACAAACGTACAGCATCCATTTCAACCATGTGGATGATCAGGAAAACTAATGTGGATACATAACACACACACACGCATATTTTAGGTACACACACACACACACACACATCTACGCAAGAACTTACTATGAGAAAAAAAAAAGGCCTCAATTTATTCTGGGAGGTTTATATCAAAGGGCATTATTTTTATACAAAGGTCATGGTTTCTCTGGAGATTTGGGTAAAGAAATTTCCTTTTCCTTGGTTCTCAAAGATTGGAGAACCAGTTAATGACAGAGGCATTAGTCACATGGGTAGCATGATAGAGTTTCCGTATTATTTCGTCCCGTGGAGTGGCATGTGGAAAAGGCATCGGCTCTCTGCAATCAATAGCTTTTATATTCCACATAAACAAAGAGAAATATTACGTGGAATATAAAAGCTATTGATAACAGGCAGAAAATATACTTACCAATTACCGCTTTAAAGAGAACACTGTGAAGTGCTCTCCAGTGGAAGTGGTTCCAGGTGGTGGCACACAATAGGCAGCCACACTGGTGTTCCTCGGCTCACACAGCGGATCACAGAGGTCCCAGATTCTTCTTAAACAAATGCCTGCATGTTTATGTTTTTTTCTTTCAGGTTAAAATCCAAGGTGGAGTTTCAGTAAAAATAAATAGGGAAATGTGAGGCAGGGTTGCCTGCCGGGAGACGGGCGGGCTGAAGAGCCTGCTATGTAATCAGCAGAGGCAGTTTAATGGCTTCAAAAGCTTCAAAGCTGCGCTTTTTGGAGCTGAATTTTTCAGCCCATAGATCCTGCCCACAATTCATAAGAATGCCAAGGACGCAGGAATGCTGCTTTGGTAAACAATAACTTTCAATATTGCAGTTGATCTCAGCCACCTTCAGCCTCACATTCAAATGAGCACACACAAATGTACTTTTCTAGATAAATAGATTCTGTGGTCTGTGTACACAGCCTCCACCAACCTGCCATTTTTGCACTCCCATCAGCCTAAGAGGGGCAACCTCAGCCCTCACTGCCCTTCTCTTTGGAGGAGAGGAAAGACCCCACCCCAGCCTCCATACCCCCTTATTGATTGCCTTTCCTGGTCACAAGTAATGCCATTTTCTCAGTTGGCTTTCCCCTAAATACTGTGTTCTTTGGGCAGTGCCATGAACAGCTCCCTGGAGGGCATGCCGGGGCTGACAGAAGCACAGAGAGAGTGACCACCTACAGTCGTGACTTGCCCACCTGCAGCCCGCCCCAGACACACTTCTAACCAACAAGGAGTTCTTGCGGATTCCACTGTGTTTGTCACACACATTTCAGCCCCAAGATTCCCCTCACAACTCATTTTCTCTCAGGTACAAACTAATTGCCGTCATGCATCAGCCAGGCTCTGGATACTCCAAGGGCACGCAGCTCTGGAAGCCGAACAGGTAAGAATAAATAAGGCATTTTTAAAGAAAATACCGCACACAGAAACCCTTGCAGTCATGAAATGCCAGGGCAGCAGCTCTCCACCTCACACTTCCATCCTTTGCTACCTCACGGTAGCTAAATATTCATGTATCAAAGATGTCCTTACCTGCCATCTGGCTTTGACAGACTCTGGGTTTTAAATCAAGCATGAAGCAGAACGAGTTATAAATATCAATAGCCCGACAAAGCACCCCTTCATGTTCGCAGGTTCCATTTACTTTAGACAATGAGTCAGATAAATGAAATTAGGACAGAAACACACCTCCTCTGACTTATGTGAAAGTGTGTCCCCTCTCTCAAACATTTCTCTGCTCTTAAACAATATGTGCATCTTAGGACCAAACAAATTTCTTTTTCTCTTTTTTAGGAATTATTTGTTTAACTCAGACCCACCCTGAAAAAACACTTTAGATCATGAAAAGAGTTATATCTAACTTATAAGGAAAGAAAAAGGGACATATGCTATTACATTTGAACTGGAGAGATAGGCTGGTAATTGAAAGTAGATTTATCCTGGTGTGGAAAAAACTAATACAGCACAGCAGCTAAGCAATATTCATTTTTATGGCATAGTATACAAAATATATAAACCATTTTGTTTGAGATAGAGATTGACCAAAGGAAATATTATCCTCACAGCTTTTCTCTGCACAAGTAATAATTTTTGAAGTGAACAAGCAGGTCTATATAAACCAGTATAAATATCAAACTATCTCTCTGAAAACTAAAAAATAACCATCTGAAACTGTATGCTGCACCTACTTGAAAAAACATACAAATAAATAGGAATTACTTTGTAAGCTGCCCGCCTCCCCGCACTCTTGAACACTGAGATTTCATGGACAAACAAAGGGAAAAATAGCAAAGCCATTTTAAACATGTTTCCAGCGAGTCTCCTAAAGTAGGAATCTTCTTAATTCTCCAAAGAGATTGCGGTTTTGAAATACTCTTATCAACTTTTGAGACGGGAGCAGTTGTGCACACAGACTGGCTTTGGGGCACTATTCTGAATTTAACTGATTTGAAGGAAGCTCATCAGCTGCAGACCAAAAGCGGCTGTTTCCCAAGTTGTGAGTGCATTTGCCGCAATGATCTCTGCCGTTACCTACCATGCACCGCTTATTAAACACAAAACCCATTGCCCTGAAGAATCTGCTCACAATCTCAGCAACAGTGGCATCTGCAGAGGGGCGCTCCAACCACTTGAAACTCATTAAAACGTACTTGAGATTGACAATGAGTAGAGAACATCTGTCAGACTTGGCCAAGATTTCAATCAAGTGTGATGGTGCTGTGTTGCTTGACTACATTGACTTAATAAATGAGTTGGCTGCTGTCAGCTCAAGGAAAGTTTGGTTGTAATTACTGTCCTGTCCTTTTTTCTTTCTCCTGAAATGTTATTTCACTTAAATGTTCATATTCTACGTGAAATGTATGAAAATGAAGTTTGATGGAATAATATGCCATTTTTACAAGGAATGTAAGGTTCATTTTCAACTGACTGAATTTACCAAAATGACCATTGCTTTAATGAGCCTGCATGCACAAACCCCTGAAAGGGCAGACAAAATCACACTCATCTCTGCTCTCTGGAAGTGTCTCCAACTGCATGTTCAGAAGAACAGAGCTCCCACTTTGATCTGTAAATTAAATAGCGATAATAAATGACCATATGTGTAAGAGCCAGGAAAACGAAAAAGCATTTTCAATGCCAAAAGGCTTTTGATCTTCAATAAATAAAACTTTCCCTTATGTAGCATTTTAAGCCTTGTGTTTAAACTTCACGTTTAATCCCACAACAATCCGTTTTGCTGGTGATGAAACAGAGACTCAACCAGGTAACCAATCTGCCCTACTGACATGATTACTCAGCCAAAGAGTCAGGAATCCAGCTCTGAATGGGAGATTTTCCATCATGCAGCATTTGCTCTATTTGCCTCTTTGGAAATGTTTGCTTGAGGGATCAGATTAAGTACAAGGTATTGGTTCTGACCAGTATTATTTCAAGGGAATGGAAAGTTACAGTTATTTCTGCTGACAGGCTTAGCACCACCTGTTCAAAGATGGAAGGATGTAAACTCCAGTCGTAAAGGCCAGGTAGGCTCAGCTGAATTTAGGATAAAATTATCACACTCAGTGAGCACAAAGCTGGACTTAGAAGAACTAATCCTGATCTCTTCATCTGGTGCTCTGGGGCATCCAATTAGCAGGTCTGGTGAATTAGGCTCGCCACCCAGTGGAACTGGGCCTGTGGGGGCCTGAGGAAGCCACAGCTGGCAACCACCAGCTGTAGATAGGGTAGAGTCCCTCTGATTTGGTAGTGTCCACTCAGTGTGCCTAGAAGGTGTCTTTAGTGAAAGGATGAGTGTCTCTTCACACATTAAATGTGTTCTTCTATGGGCAAAGCAATAGCAACTGCACTCAGAATAGAGACCTACTGTTACAATATTAATAATACTTCCCGGTTTTTCTTCATTTTCCCCTCTGTCCATTCACAACAATTAAAATTCTGCCATGGCCCACACTTAAGAGGCATGGACGCCAGGTTTGATTGATGGCGACCTCTGTTTCTATTACCTCCTCTCATTTATAGCTTCGACCCACTGAAACTCTGAAGTCTTTAATTCCATTCTAGCTGTCAGCCAGCAAGCAGACACTCAGGAGTGGGACCAAGTTTGTACAATAAATAGGATGTTTTTTGAGGGACTGTCCTCTGTCGAAGGTCAAAGTGGTTGCAAAATTAACATCACCATGGTTGAGATGAGTCGCAGAGCTAAGATTATCATAGTGTTAGTAAAAATAGGTCAGCGACACATAAATGTGTGAATTCTCCCTCCTCTGAACTCCCGTAGCATTTTATTTTTATCCCTCGTATGGCACTTATCACTTCCTACCTTGCATTAGACTTATTTGTATGCAGACTTGATCTCTTTTGTGCAGAGATCTTCAAATTCCTTGGTCCGCCATAGCAGTCAACCCAGTGCCTTGCACATAGTAGGCTCTCTTTAAGTGTTAAGTATCTGATAGAATTCTAACAATAACCAGGTAAGGAGAAAAACGTTTAAAAGCTACTTTTGTAAAAAAAAAAAAAAAAAAAAAAAAGTGTGTGGCTGCTGAACTGAACTGAACTTCCTTGGAATATTTGGCCTCTGCCTGGCGCCTGCTGGCCCTGGGCAGCGGCTGTGCACACGCACACACTAGGCACAGCCCAGGCAGACGCTGTGACGCCGCCAGGCTGAGTGACAATTGCGCTCTGGCTTCTTTGACTTCCAGGTCCCACATGGGCTCCTCTCCCCCGAGATCCGCTGCTTCCTGTTGCTTCGCTGGCTAATTCCTAACACCAGCTCCTACTTGGAGTCTCGTTGCGGATCCTTCCTCCTGGAACCCTTCCCTGAGCCTGCAAACCCGTGCCACAGCTCGCTTGGTGCTGCTTGAGCTTCCTCTGCGCTGGCACAGGAGCTGGTGAGAACAGGTCTGTACCGAGAGGGAGCCGAGGCTCAGTCCCCTTCCAGGGGACGCAGGAAGCCGGAGCCAGTCCAGCCCTGGACCCTGAGCTTCCCGGGTGAGTCGCCTTTTGGTGAAGTGGGGGGCACAGGGGTCCCCGCGCCTGGCCAGCGGATTCACAGACGAAGAGCACAGCTGACAGCAACACGCGGCTTTTATTTGTTGTATAAACATAAATAACAGATTTTATGCACAAGTCGTTGGATGGTTCTTAAGCTTAAATAAAATAATACAATATTACGCATCCAGTGGCTTACCTGGGAAGTCAGTACAGAAGGGGGATTTACTTCTGCTTTTTAGGAAGAACTTTTTCTTTATTCTGAATCTTCAAAGAGACTATAATAACTTGTTTCTGAAGTCAGCAAATAAATAGAGGGTCAGCAGCCCAGAGGAGGCGACATCTTGGTGGAATTGAATGTAACCCAATGAAAAGGGAAGGAGGCTCATCAGACCGAGCTAAAAACACGAGGCCGGGCCTGAGACAGGAAAATGTGTGCATGACTAGAAAATTACGGCTCGTTGTTAAGGTCAGTGTGAAGAGGGTAGGTGTGGGAGAAGCATAGTGTATGCGGGAGATGAGCTGAGCCAGGCAGCTCGATTTGAAATTATAAATAGCGTGGAACATTGAGCCAAGGGGTCTGCACAGAATTCTGTAGGTTGGAAGGAGTCAAAGCCAGTTTTCAAGCAGGCAGACACATAACCCTATCTGTGACTCAGAGAAAAGACGTGGTGACAAGATAATGAATGAGTGAGAGAGGGAAAGGCTAGAAGCAAAATCTAGTTGGGATGCCATTTCTGTGATGTGAGCAACCAGTTTCAATAATTTAAGAACTGCATATCTGTAAAGTTCAATATAAATGTTAATTTAAAACTATTATCTCAATACGATTGAATTCAATAACCTTTAAGGCAGCAGATATTGAAGCAGATTTTTTTTTTGTTGTTACTTAGCTCCAAGTAATTCAGGTGAAATTAATGTATAATTTGAGCATAATGGCCAAATCTACTAATGAGCTGATTGCAGGCTTTGCATTCTGAACCTTAAGAATACAGATTATAGCAGCAACTGAAGAAAAAAGACCAAACTCCGCCTGGACCCGCTGGGATACAGCAAGGATTGTAATTCACTGAGAGAAAGGAATTTTTTCACTAAATACATAAAAAGCCACACCTATTAGTCAAAATTGGGATCTAATTAAAATCTACACATGGCAGTTTAATGCTGTTACTGAGATGAAATTCATGGTCAAATAGGAAATGTTTTACAATGGAGAAGAATATGAGTTACAATATTTCTTTTCCAGCCAGTTTTAGTATGTGTAATTTGTACTTAACTAAATTACCCTTCTATGAGAATTCCTAAAAGAAATTCTGATACGGTTAAATCATAGGAAATTTTGTGGAGTGAGACAGTTTTTTTTTTGTTTTTTTTTTTTTCCTTTCTACCACTATCCTTGTGAGAGCACAGCTGTGGCACTAGAAAGAGCCTGTGATACTGCAACTCAGGTCAAAGAACAGGCCAGGGACTCTCTAAGATGAATGATGCAGAATAGGAGAGGGCAGGCTCGCAAAAGCCATCTGTACTCTGCAGTTCCTAGCACTGTCCCTGGACGTGGGGACTTTCTTCTGTTTGGCATTGTGATGTTTCTAGCCACCCCACCCCCCTGCTGCCTTCTGTGTTCCTTACCACAGAGTAGATGTCAGCCCATCGGTAGACCGGCCTCCCCGGCAGGAAGAAAAGGAAAGTGGCTGTATGTGTGCGCTGGGAAACCACGTGCCAGCTTTCCCAGGTGTGTTAGTCAGCTGTTCATGAAAAGTACCTGACCAGAACAGCTTGGAGGAGGAAACTTTTGTTTGGGGGTCAAGGTTTCAGAGATCCAGTCCATGATCACCCAACTCCATTACTCTGGGCCTGAGAGGAGACAGAACATCATGGCGGATGGGCATGGAATGGGAAAGCAGCTCAATGCATGACAGCCAGGAAGCAGAGGGTGGGAGGGCCAAATAAGGGGAAAAGAACCCTTCCAGAGCACACTGCCAGTCACCCATCTCTTCCAGCCACACCCCTCCTGCCCACGGTTACCACCCAGATCAGTGGGTTCAAACAAGGATGGACTGATTAGGCTATAGTGCTCACAATCCAGTGATCTCACCTCTGAATATTCCTGCATTAGCACGGGAGCTTTGGGGAGTCATTTCATATTCAAACCATAATACTAGGAAATTTTAATACAGACTTATCAATTTTGCCGTAAATTTTACTAAATTTCTCTAAAGGATCCATTTCTTTTTTGAACACCCCCAACCTAACTGATTTAAATCGGCTCGGGGTCACAATGGATCAAGACAGAGAGCACCCCAAACCCAAACAAAATCATTTTCTTTTTTTCTATAGCAATAAACGGAAGACCACACATCCCAGGAATGACCCCTTCGGGACTAAAGGAGGTAAAGAAATCCATTATCACAATATGGTGATGATGTCGGCACATTAACAACAGCAAAATCAGTCACTATTTATTGACCGATTCCTAGGAGCCGCACATTGCTCCTGGCTTTGAGGACTATGACAGTATGGATTGGGCAAAGTCCCTGATCTGGTAGTTTATAGAATATAACTTCAGCTGATGCTAAAGACTGTGGCTGGAGTTGACTAGAGACCTGAGGGGAACATCTGGAAGAAAAGTGCTCCAAGCAGAAAGGACAGTAGGCAGAAAGGTTCTGAGACAGGACCATGTGGGATGCACTCAAGAAAGAGCAGCTGGGTCAACGGAGCCCGAGGAATGTTGAAGGTGGGATGGTCAGAAATGAGATGGAAGAGGGAGGGCCAAGTCAGGGACATGATGGGTTGGGTCTTAAACCCTGTGGTGAAGACTCAGCTTCATTCAGTGTGTGACAGGAAGCCAGCAGAAGGTTTTGAGCAGGGAACTGATGTCCTTCACCTTACGTGTATCCATGATGACCTGATAAATTCAGCAGACTCCTCTATTGATGAACAGAAAAACAGCTACATCCCACTTTCAATGGCTCCAAAGGCATCTTTCTCTGTAGAAGAAAAGTGCAAAAATAGTGAGGGTTTTTTTCCCCAATCATCTCCCTTTTTGAATCCAGGCACCTATCAAAATCAAAGTTATGGTGGCAAAAGTGCTCAATTGGCAATCATAAGAATAAGAGGCTTTGAACCATATATCAGGATCAGCTGGGGAGCAAAAGCATTGCAGTGTGAAAGCTTTGTCTGACTTCTAGACACTCCTCTTACGTGGCCCCAGCCACACACCAGGCCCAGTGCTCAGCCGTGGAAGAGTTAGATTAACGTGTGTCCCTACTGACCAACACCACAGTCTACCATGGAAAGTAGTGGTGAAAAGAATTAAACAGTCATCAAGGAAGGAGAATATTCATAGAGGTGGGGTATTTCCAACCCACTCCATGAAGAAATCTTAGATTTCAAGGAGATAGGGATCATTCTGGAACTCCTACAATGACCCTGCTTTCCTTACCCCAGTTAACACTGAATCCAAGTATCGTTTCGTTCCCAGGACCATAGCAACTGGCTTCTCTGCACCAGATAGTAAAAGAACGTGTAGCCGTATGCCCCTCTCTTTCACTCTTCCACCTGCAGAACTGAGTTTACACTCAACACTGAAAATCTCCAGCATTTTTTCCTTCCCAGATTGGGGGGGGGGGCACGGGGAACAGAAGAAGAAGTCGTCTAAGAAACCGTAGTGACAATATTTCCTGAAGCTAAGCACAATCATACTGAGAAATTGATCAAGGTGGTGAGCCCTAGTTGATTAAACGAGGGCTCATCACCTGCTTTAACTAATGAAGCTAGACTTCTCAGGAGGTGGTTTGTATCTATTAAGAGAGGACAATCACCCTCTTTAGATATATAAAGATTAAGGACATTTAGTGTAAGTTGAAGGCACCAGATGAAGGGACTTAGGGGAAGAGGCTTGTTTCTGGATGGAAGAAAATGAACAGATCATCAGGAGATCATGCTGATGACATAAACAAGGCAGGCCAGATGAGAGTCTAAAGGAAATAATTCAATACCAAGAGCAAGTCGTGGGGATTTCAGGAGAAGAGAATAACCCGGTTACCTCAATGAATGCAGTAGAGATGAGGTTTAGAAATCACTTTGTCAGCAAAATGATTTCTCCTCTTTCCAAAGAAGCAATGCATAAAAGGAAACAGAGGACTCTTGCTGAGGTAAATTGTCACCTAGTTCCAGGATCCAGGCCAAGAAAATGTAATGAAAAATCAAATGTATTTAGAGGCAAAAATATACTGTATTATTTTCTAAAGTGGGCCAAGACTGTATAACACAAATTCACTAGAAAATTCTGAAATGCTCTCAGAACTGTCCAAAGAGCCCAGTGGTCTCCCTCAGAGACTCACTGTGCCTCTGGGAGGAAACGTGCTCTGGTCAAAGTGAACAGCGAAGCAGTTCTCCCCACATTGGACCATTTTCCAGAAGAACAACCACTGGGCCCTCATGCTCCTATTTGCAGGGTCCCTCAAAAGCTCCCTGCTCTTCCCTTCCTGGGTAATTGGGACAGGTGTCTGTTGGGACCTGCTGTGACATTCTTACTCCTTCTGTCCCTGGAGCTACCTCTTTACCAGGCTTTTAAGAATCCAGCCAAGAGTTTTGCTTCCTCTCTCAGATTTGTGGCCACCCTGTGTGACCAGTCACCATGACTTGGGAACAAAGACCACATGGCCAGGACACTCCACAACTGGGTAGCCTATTTTAAGAAATAAAACAACTCAAAAGTTGCATTTACATTTCACCAGAAAAAAATACATGTAAAACCATTAAACAACTAACAACTCACTGAAAATCAGAAGTTGGTCAGCGCCAGCCAAGGTTACTAAGCAAGTCAGACCACCCTTCCACTGACCTTGTGGTCTTTGTTCCCAAGTCATGGTGACTGGTCACACAGAGTGGCGTCTGCGCCCACTTCTCACTGATAGTGCTCCTCTTGGCTTCAAAAAACACTGATATTCAAGAATTTTTCAATTGGAAACCAAGAAATTTTTTCCACTCCAGTTTCCAGCATCTTGATCCGTCATTTTCGGGAAATCACCATCTTTCTGTCTTCTTTTTTACTATATGTAAAGCAAAATTCATAAATTTGGGTAAAGTCAAAATGCTCTGACAAGTATTGATGACAAAAATGCCTGCAGAGCATTTCTCCATATAAATTATTATGTAAATTCCTGAAAATATAAGTTTATATAAATAAATATGTGGAGAGGTGATTTAGATTTATTGACTTTCCTTTTATTATTTATTTATGGAGCATCAAAAATTAGATAAGCTTGATGAATTTAGTTCCCAAAACCTAAACACATGCTATAAAATTGGGGGATTTGGTGGTGAAACACTGTGCATGAATTTTTTAATATGATTTTTTAAGATACCAGTGGAGACATACCCAGGAGCCACTTTTCCCCAACTCCATGAGTTTGCTTGACTTTGAATTGAATATTTGTTTCAAAATTACCTGACCTGCCTGATATATAAAACTCATGATTTTTAAAACCTTAAGTTAACAGTGCATATGGAGTGAGTACAAATATAATTATAAATGTAATTTTAATTCTGTTCTCCTTACCGAGCTACAGTATTTGTGAGTAATCTATTCCAAAATCAAAGATCAACTCAAATCCCTTCTACCAACTCTGGTCCTGTTTTCTAAGTATTTATTTAATGTCATTGTTCAGTAAGGGACCTAGAGACCTTTCGCTCTAGGTGGAAAGAAAATGCAAATCTGTTAGTTATTTGCTGAGGTTCCTGAGGACGCTGAAAACACACAGGCACTTGCAACTGTGAATTTCCCAGTAAATATAAAATCTTTGTCTTCTGGAGTATTTGCTTAACTGAACAAAGTTTACACAGCCTGAAGAGGATTAGCACTAACAATAACACAAAATTAAACCTTTGGCATTCCTGTAGTTCATTTCTGTGGTTATCTCCTCTTTGCCCACATTGATTTACCCAACTCTATCATTTATAAAAAAAAAAAAAAAGGGGAAGAAGAAGAAAGAAAGAAAAGGAAGATCTGACAGTGTTCACTGAATCCTCCAAGCACTAATGAGTACCGCTACCTTTAGTATTATTCCTGCATTCCTTTATTCAGAAATATTTAATACTAAAATGGGCCAGGTGCCGTGTCACATGCTAAATACACAATGATAAATTTAAAAAGCAAAGACTTTTTCAGCCTTTGAGATTGTTTATTTGGTAATTGGAAAATATAAAGGCATAATACTGGATTGCAACCATGTATGATAAACGCTGCCGGAGGGCCACGGAGTATGAAGAGAAGAACTGTCATGTCTGGAGGAGTCCAAGAGAAGAGATGGAATCTGACCCCTTTTCAAAGTGTCAGCGGGCATTTGGTGGCCTGGAGAGAGAAAGCATTACCAGCAGCAGAACAGCTTATACAAAAAAAATGGAGGATACGTGTAAAGTACTTGATGTACATAAAGAAGTGATGGAAGAATGGGGAGTGGAAAGAAATAACACTGTAAAATATTTTGTGGTATCAAGATTACAAAGCAGAGACACATTGGTATAGGTGCAGCCTGATTGACTTCAGCATTTTCCTATGGGTTGAGCATTTAGAGTATTTCTGACTTTTCCCAAATATTGAGCTGTGATGAACATCATCCTATTGATGATGTTAGGATTTTAAATCCTAACTGGATTTAAAAATGATATGACTGGAAATGAAATTAGTCAACTAGGTACTTATTTTAAGTACTTTGCTACCTCCTATATTTGTTTCTGGAATAATGTCAATTTATCACCAGCTTAGGATAGAACCAGTCCTCCTGTTCCCTTTGCCAGAACTGAGTATCATCAATAAAAGAAAAAAAAAGTTTGCTAATTGTATGAGTAGAAAAAGAGATTAGTTCTTACAGCATTATGAGCATCCAGACCAAAAGCTTGAATTTAATTCTGAAGTTAATGAGAAAGCCATTGAAGATGTTTGATCAAGGGAGCAAATATCTAGAACAGTTCTTTGAGAAGATTAATTCTGACAGCAAGAAATAGCAGATGATGTTAGGCTTTGCTTGAGAACCCACTCAATTCTGGAGGCTGAGAGATTGTGGTAACAGCCTGGGGAAGCATTGCCCAATAGGAGTTTCTGTGATGACAGAACACTTCAAAGTCCTGGAAATCTGGCTAATGCAACCAAGGAACTAAATTTTTAATTTCAATTAACGCGATTGAATTTTAATAGCCACATGTAGCCAGTGGCTCTTGTGTTAGCACAGACCTGGAACAATAGGTACTCCAGATAGAAAAATGCCAGGCTACCAGGGAGAAAGCAAAACAGATTGAGCAAACAAACTCTGTGACCGTGTAGATGTCCAAGAGGAAAGGGAGGCAGAAACCTGATGTGGAGATTCAGAATCAGAGGAAAATGAAATTTGGGCCTGTCGCTGCCACAGTCTGTAGTACAGAAGAGAAAATCGTTGGAGGGGATAATGAGGAAGGAGAGGAAGGTGTGTGTGCGTGTGGATGTGTGTGTGCCCCACTCCTGCATCAATAGACAGCTCCTAAACATGTCAGCAGGACATGGGAAATGACACAGAGATTTAAACTGACCAGGTACCAAGGTCTTTTCCTGAGGTATTGATCTATATAAAACTGTGATAAGCTGTTGGATCCTAACCTATATATCAAACCTTTACAAATACAGGCTGGTACTTCTCACCCTCAGAAACTTGGATGAAGAAAAAAAATATGTCCTTCACACCACGGAAATACCAAGTGAATACCACAAGCAAGATAGGGGAAGGTTGTGCTCCACCACTTAAAGGCAGCACGTATCTGTGAGACATGATGGGTCAAGCTGCCACACTGTGTGATAAAAATGTAAGTGTAAATGTAATGGAAAGGAACAAAATGTAATAAGGTTGCAGATTCAGCAAAGCAAGCAAATGATGGATAAATAAAACAACGGTAACCGGCTACTAATTAAGTCTGTGCTGGATCAACCGTGGAAAGGGCAAGGAAGGAATTCGCTCTTCATCTCAACCTTTACATGACTGATGCTTTCCCTCCTTTAAAGTCTCAGTGTCAATTCAGCTCCTCAGAGACAATTCTGTACACCTCTTTCCTGGGCTCATTTCCAACCTAATTCTGTTGTCTTTATATCTCACGCCATGTTATTTAATGGTGTGTTTTTCTGTTGTCTGTCTCTCCATGAATGCTAGGATCCATGAGAGTCTGTTTTATTTAACTTTTGTGTATCCACCATCTAGGTTGCCTCCTGCTGTGTAGAAAGTGTTCAGTGATTGTTTGGAAGAATTAGTGGGTGAATAAATGAGTGCACCCTGTTTGTTACGCAATGAACTGAAGGTCCAACGGACTGAGAAAATTCCATGGAGACCAAGGTGGACCTGCAGAAGTCAGCCACATGCACTGTCCCTTCAGCCAAGCAAGAACAGGCTTTGAAGGTCCAATTGAGGAACCGGTGGTTTGGTTCCTGGGACATCATTCAACCAGGAAGAGTTTCATCCCGTCTCTGGCAAAGACCCTGTTGATTAGAGATTGTTCACCTTAGCAAAAGCCATGAGTTTGTGGGGGTTTATCATGAGAACTTCATTCCAAGGTAAAATAAATCCTAACCTGACTACTGTCGAGATCCAAGCACGCTGATTCCGAGTATATGAACTGAGCACGGATAGAACAGCCCTGAGCTTACGGCTCCCTGTGGGTGCTCCACTCACACCAGGATTAAGGGAAAGCTTCCTCCTAGTTTATCAAGATCCCGGATAATCAGACACTGTTCTTAGGAGAATCAGAGACCCGGAGTATGTGTTTGTATGTCTGAATGGACCCTTCGGAACTGCTGAAAGTATGAATTCCAAAACCATTATTTTGTCCTAGATCTTTAAAAGTTTACATTTCCGGCAGCGACATCTCCCTTTTTATGTAACGAGGCGATAAGGAGAGAAGCCGCCCCCAGCTGTGAGAGCCAGTCTGACCTCCCAGGTAGGTCTCACGGCCACTGTGAGCCCATTTGCTCAGTCAGGTCGTTTTGTTCTTCTGCTTGCACTTAAGTGGTTTCACAGAACATCAGCCTCACACAAGGTCACTAAGACCATGACAGTGGAAGACAAAAGCAAGTTCACTATGCAACTCACAAAACACAAGATGTTCCCTCCCTCGTTAAGTGAGTGACTGCTACTTCTCTACGGATTATAGTTCAGTCCCCACACTTATCCTATGAGTCAGGTTGACGGAGTGGCTCATGGAATATGTCTGCCTCCTCACAGCGTAAGCTCACAGCTTCTTAGAACACCCCCCACCCCCACAAAATAAAATGCACCAACCAAACTAAAATCCTCTATTCTACCAGCCCCGAATGACATAGCCCATAGTTGCTGGTTATACTGGATGGAGTAAAACAGGCAAGGAAGACATTATTCAAGACCATCCCACAGAGAGAGACGACGGAACTCAATATGCAGAACCAGAGGCAAGTGAGCTCATGGGAAACCACCGAAGGGCTCAGGGAGACGCTGGCCACATGGTGGAGCCATCAAGTTAGCCTTCCACCCCCACAGAGACTGGGGACCAGGGCCCTCTGTCCTCCTGATGATTCCTGTCCTAAGAAATGTCTCACATGCTCTTGAGCAAGGTGTTTCTGGGTTATGGAACTACCAGGGACTATCAGAAGAACTATCCTCCTCAATGGGGGAGAGAAAGAATTTACCACGGCAAGTTTCCTGAAGTCGACTCTCCAAGACGTCAGGTGCCTAAAGCCAGGAAGAACTGCAGCTGGAGTTTAGTCAGACTGAGGAGAACTCAAAGGCCATCTTGAGCCGTCCAGGCACCGTGACATGTGTTCTCTCACATGCAACAAGTGATAAGCTCAGCCTGCTCACACGCCAGGGTGTCCTGGTCGTGTTTGGGGCTGCAGTGCCTGACAAAGGCGAGAGAGAGACAAAGAGACCCAGCCCAAAGACAAATCACAGTTTCTATCCCATTCGTGATAGACAAAATCCATTCTTCTCAGATTAGAGGAAATTTTCCCCTATTCCTGTTTAGGTAGCTTCTTAGTCATTGATGGATTCACCCCCAATAAGAAACACATGCCTCTCTGTGCTGAACCCATGGATCGCATCAAGAAATTATTAGGGAAGAACATGTTTCATTCTGAAACAGAGAACTATCAGAAGTTCCAGGGAATTTGTCCAGGTGACAGCATCTGCCTGGAGACATCCTCTCCTGGTGGTCACTGCTGGGGACGTGAAGGGTTCCTGATACTCTGTTCTGACTAAATGTGACTCCATGTTAACAAGTTGACCTAAAAGCTTGTTGTTCCTAAGATTTTAAAATGGAACAGTAAAAATCCAGACATTTTTACCAATTTATTGAGTATCTCTAAAACTGAGCAAAGAAGGATTCAGCTTCCGCATTTTGCCTAGCTTTGCTGAGGTCATTAGAATATAAAATGGGAAATGGTAGACAAAAAGAATTTTGATATCTAGGTCAAGGGTCCACAAATTGCAGCCTGCAGACCCATTTCAGCCCATTCCTGTTTTTATAAATAAAGTTGAAAGGGAACCTAGCTCTGTCCTTTCACTAGGCCCTGTGTGGTGACTCAGACACAGTGACAGCTGAGGAGCTGGGACAGACCACCTGGACTGCAAAACCTAAAACGTTCACAGTCTGCACCTCTACACAAAACATTTGCCAACCTCAGAACTGACTTGATTAACAAATAGAAAAATAGTTTGCCAGAGACCTATTTAAATTTTTTTAATACAAAGTCATGAATGATTATGTTACGTGTATTATGTTACAACATACAACATCTTCCAGCTTCCAATTTTGTACCAATGATATATACCTGAACGCACACCAATCACTATTACCTCCTCCAAGTCTACCAAGACCAGAGCAGGCATCCTCAGAACCCTGGTCCTCTCATTGCTCTAAGGTCAACCGAAAACAGGAAGAGTGGTACCCCATGGCCACGACACCTGCCTTTTGTTTTTCTCTGGTATCTTTCCAGCCTGCTGCCTTTCCTTTTGTTTATTGAACAACTCCCATCCAGTTTTTTAGATAAGTTATGATTTCTTTTAGATAAGCTATCGATGTCTATTTGAAAACCCTTCTGTGACTTTCAGCATGGCATTTTGAGGATAGTAAAGCCCAAATCCTTGCCCTGGGTTTGCTGAGTTGAACAGTCTTGATTTCTCCTTGGCGAGACGTGAGGAAGAGGCAGATGTCCAACACAGGTTGTGATGTCACCTCTTTAAGATGTTTGTTCCCTGACCAGAACGGAAGCGAAGGGCCGTCCTGAGAGGCTGACCTTCTGCCCGAGGCAGAGCAGCACTGAAGCTGCAGAAATGGCCCCGCGTTCTCCAGCACAGTCCCCGGGTCTGTCTTCTGAGTGCCATTTCAGGGTCGTCAGTCTCCCTGAGGAATTCAGGATGGCTATGGATTCTGCCCCTGACATTCTCAGTACCAGAGGAAGCTCAGGGAGGGCCTGCGACGTTACCCCCAGGACACCGTCAACCGCATATCAGAAAGGAAATGAAGGGCCACTGCAGCCCTGTGATGGGGAAGAGACCTCTTGGTGAGAGAAGGACAAGGGACAGAAAGATTTTCTTCTTCCCAAGATAGTCGGATCCTGGCATCCCAGAAGAAGAACAGGAGACACAATCAAGGGCTCTCCAAGAATCGCCCCTACTGCCAGACAGGAGAGCTGGGTGCCTGCAGCCACCCCCCTCTTCAGGGCCTCTGCCCCAGGAGTCTGGGCCTATGAGATACTAGAGGAAACCGCTGAGGGATACCACGTGGGAACGGCAACATGTAGCTTCAGAGAGAGAGAGAGAGAGAGAGAGAGAGAGAGAGAACGATCAGATCTACCGTGACCTCCTGGTTCCCTGCTAAATTGCCTCTAATAGTTACCCTACAGTCCAGAGATTGCCTCCTCCCCTCCCTTCAGACCCCCAGGTGGTAGGAGGCCCAGGGACCTGCCCCTTGTACTTGCCTGGAACTTTCTTTACCCCCTTCCCACGCTTCTGCAGCCTGTACCTATGGAAGCTCCCTTGAGCCGTCCCAGATTGAGCGGCCCATTTGGACTCCGTCTGATACACAAGGTCCGATGTCCTCATTCATAGGACAGATTCCTGGAGAAAACTCTGAAGCTCAGATCCCTCAAGAAACAAGCAGGGTGCCAGCCCTGTGGGCCTCCACACATTAAGAGAGAAAGGAGGGAGCGTTCCACCGTTGTATAACCTGTACTCCTAGAATGTGTTGGATCCCACTCTCTCTACCCCCGCAACATTCAGGCAGAAGGACCCTAAGTGCTGAGGAAAGCAGCTGATTCTCTGCGGAACCGTGGAAGCTGCTCTGCCCTGTGGTGAGAAGACATTGGCAAATGCCAGAATGGGCCACAGGAAGAGCACTCCGACCCATCACCTTGAAAGAGGCACCACAAGTAGCAGGGTTTAGTGCTTCTTTGTGGAGAAGGAGGAGCTTCTCTGTGACTGAAACCCCTATCATCAGCAAGAAGTCAAAGAAGACATAATCCCATAGCAATAGCTAAGAACACCGGGGAGCATATCACAGTTTCTTCTATTTTGGAATCTACATAACTGTAGCTAGGGATATCAGGACCAAAAATATCACTCTGAACCAAAACTAGAGAATTACGAAATCTCAGCGTCGGGGAGAATGTTAGCTCACATTCTCAACATCAACCTGTATGCAAGACACCTTCCACACAACTTAAGGTGGCTTCCACACAACAATTACTGGAAACCCCTCAGCCACTGTAAATTCAGTGACTGGAAATGATGCCTTTCCCAGGTGTTAGCAAATAATTGCTAAAGAAAACTTCGTGTAATGTATTGCAACCTCTTAAACCACAATTGCAACCTCTTAAACCACAAATACAGTCTGAGTCTAAGATCTTTTCTGATTCTTCCACACGATAGCGATCAAAACTCCTCTCTCCATCAGCTCACTCATACGCACGCATGCACACACACACCACATATATACATGTCCTTTTTCTCAGCTCTGGGTAAAATGCTGGGTTCCTTTGCCTGTTTCTCATATGTTCTTTTTCTTTAATATTCCTGGACCTTGCACTTTATACATTTTCTGGGTTATCACTGGCCCTAATGAACTAGCTAATCCCCCCCACTATTTTTTATTCAGAGAATGTAGCTATTCTGGGAGTGGGTTGAAATGAAAGTGATCAAAATTCTATTATCTTTCACATTATCTATCTGCCCAGGTTCAATCTATCTATTAAACGTCACTCTTTGAATGCAGCTGTTCAATTAGAGAGACTAGCAAATCTAGAATGAAGAGCCTGTTTTCAACATTTTAGTTACATACCCAGAAGTGTGTACGTCACTGGGACCAATAGTGGAAGGGGGTGACAATCCCAGTCACACATGGAACCATTGCCAGACCTATACTGGAATGCGGATTGTGAGGTAAGGAGGGGGCCTGAGAGGAGGTAAGGATGCCAGTGAAATACACCTGCACCCCCACGTGCTTTATTTCTACTCCAGCGGTCACTCAGGGATGCTCAGACCTCCCCCACTGCCTGTGCCAGAGACGGCAGAATTTGCTAAGATGTCTTTACATTACTTCTCTAAAACAGAAAAGAAAAAGTTTTAAAACATTACATATTTCCCACTGATTCCAAAGAGACCTGGGTTTTTACAGATGTAGCCACATTAGAGAAATACTACATAGAAAGGTGTCAAAGACTCTGGTGGTTTGCATGGTACAAGTTCTGAATGCTTTCTCAAAAGCTGAGTCTTTATAAGTGCAGGAACAAAATCCCAGAGAGTTTGCAAGCAAACCCCTTGAAAGGTCTGCCGTTCCACTGCGATGAAAGCCACCAGAGGAAGAGATGGAGCACACTCCCAGCTAGGACTTCAGCCACCTTCATGGAAACGCAGGAACCCAGATTGGATACAATTTTTGAATCTTCAGAGGAAAAGAAAATCCATGCAAGAAATGAGAACAACTTTTATGAGGTGAGGCCTCCACCTGCAATTCTCACTTGTTATCAGCTGTGCCTCCAGGTGAGAGGGAGGTCAAAAAACACCTTTAAAATATAGGTGCTAATGTGTGTTTGCTTGTGGTTTAGAACACTGTGGGGAGAATCTGACAGAGGGCTTATTATGCTGTATAAAACATTTATATAATGAGCTTGCTATAGATCCTTGGTGAAATTTCTTTTCACAATCCTAGAAATATTATTAAATAGTAAATTATACCTTATCTTTTCTATAAAAGAATTTGAAGTATTTTATAAAAATAATTTTTAAATACGATTATGTTGCTGTTGCTGCTAAAGGTACTGAATTCAGAGAAAAGAAATGTGAGGGTTGAATCATTAGGTCAAGCAAAGTTAGACCATTTGAAGCTGGACCATAAATCTGAACGTAGGCTCTTTGATGAGTAAATCCAGGAGGGAACACAGTAGGTTTATAGGTGGATTCCATCTTATTCAGCAAAACCTGTGTTTCTCCCAAAGCTGTCTTGGCTCCAAGGAAAGGGGAAATGGGTGCATCAGAAATCCTCTAAGGCCTGGACACACCCAGACATAAATTCCTTCTATAACAAAGTGTTGAGCTTGATTTTCAGGAAGTGCCCCCAGAATCCACTCCAGGACTCAAACGGGCTTATCCAGGATGGACATGCACAGTGAAAGGGGAGGTACTGGGAGTGCAATCGACCAAATTACATCATGCAGATACCTGGTGCTAAAGTACTGGCTTCTATGCATGTTGGGAAGCTAGCCCCTGCTCGGGGTTTCAGCTCAGCCCCTGTCCCTGTCTCAGTAGGGGCTCCGTGTCACTCTGACGTGTTTGACTTGAGGGCCACATGTAGTTATATTTACAGACAGGATATCGTAAAAAATTATCACCAACCACAAGTTAAGAAACAGTCCAGGTATTCAGGAGAGGGACAGCTTCATGGTACAGAAGGTCACACAGCTCTCAGAGGGTAGAGCTGACTCGTCTTCTACAATAGCTCTGTGGTCCAGGTAAGCAGCACTTCTCAGTACCAAATGAGGGTAGAACGCCCGAACTTCTCTGGAAATAACTCTAAGAAGAGTCTGAATAATATTCTGTGAGTCACGTAGTCCTCCGATGATCAAGCTGTAGTGAAGCAAGCACTTTGAAACATCTGGGTCTGCGGGGAAGATGTAACAGGACTGAGAGTCTCCCAGAGCCCTCAGCTTACATTTATTTCTCTCAATTCAACTTTTAGACCAACATGTCCTAGCCAATGTTCCCTGGAAAGTAGATATTCTAGGTTCCTTATAACCAGTTCATCCTTACATACAGGTGGGCTTCACATTCTCTATTCTAAAAAGTCCAGGTTGGAACAGAGGGCTAACTTGCTACCCCTCCCCTATATACATACCTGTTGAGGGCACCAGGCACCCCAAGGTACCCTGGCTTTCCTTCTCAGGAAGTCGTTAGGATTCATCTGTATCGGTCTCTTACATTCAAATTGACTTCAGTAGACATAAAAAACACATTAATATTTAAATAGAATGAGTCCTTTGTAAAGTTTCCCCCTAGTTAATTCTTTCCATGAATTTTGTCTGAATACTGAATAGTAAAATAGTGTGGTTACCAATGGGATCAGAGGTCAATAGGGCCTAGCGGCTGTTCTGTACAGCAAGGGAAAAGGTACAATCTTGAGCCTATGACAAAGGATGATCACAGAATGATGTCTAGCTACATCATACCCTTAATAACTAACAGGACAGCCAGTATAAATGGCAACATAAAATGTCACAGTATAGAATTTTGTAAGGTTTGTGAGATTTCTGTAAGGTTTTTAGGAACTGGCATACACTGCTATTTTAGAAAATTAAATGGGAACTTTGGTAGTCACAGTCGCCTTTACCACATTTTCCTCCTTTTTTATTTTTTCCTGGTTAACAGAGCCTCAGTTTCATTCTTTAAGAGTCAGTAAACTTTTTTTTTTTATAAAGCGACAGAAAGTAATAATTTCAGCTTTGCAGGTGTCATGATCTCTGTGGCAGCTACTCAACTCTTCAAGTTGAGTACAAAGGGGCCTTAGACAATATGCAAATAAATAGATATGGTTATGACCCATAAAATACTTTTACAAAAAAAAAAAACTGAGGGCTGGGTTTGACCCACAACTATAGTTTACCGACTCCTTATTTAGAAAGCGGGACTCTTTCCCAGCCCTCAGAGTCAAAGCTTAGATGGAAACTTACCAAGACAGTCTGATTCTTTTACCAATAGTCATTCGGATGGGCATGCCACCCAGGTCTACTGCAAGAGCCATGGGGGAGAGGAGATGTCCTGGGAAGGTTTTCTCATTCCTAAGAAGCAAACACCAGAACAGAGCAAGCTACTGGTACTGCTCCCGGGAGTCTGCAGAGGAGAGGCCTAGCACCACAGCAGAGCTCCAGCTCCTGGGTGAACTCGAAGTCAGCACACTAAGAAAGCAAAGGTAAGGGACCCTCAGAGAAGGGGATTCAGATCCTGACCCACAATACCCTGGAAGGTCCCACATCTTGAATTCTTAGAGTGATGAAACACACAGCCACACTGGTTAAGCCCTTAGGGGTCATGAGCTAAAGCAACTCAACAGAAAATTTTTAAAAAGAAATAATTACTTTTCTTCAATCTAGATAACTTCCGTATACTTCCGTTCGATCATTTATGTATTCATCGCATAGACATTATAATTAAATACATAAAATAATAAAATTTGCTGTATAGTCAAAGAACTTTGTTTAAAAGTTTGCATGTATCTTCCCGTTTCAAATATCAAGAAGTATTATTTCAAATGAGAAAAACAGGGAAAGTAGAAAAATATGACAAGCCATCTTGAGATAAAATTGGTAGATATAAATCATGACAGTGTGCAATATCTCTATTACATTCCAAGACAAATTAATTACGCATCTAAGAAATTGAAAGTCAATTTTGATGAAATCCTCTCTCTTTATTTCAGGAGAATGTCACTTTTCCCAAAGAAGTTTATTATAAAATATTGAACAGTGTTCAGTTCTTGATTGTTTTTCTTTGGAAACTGTGCTGTTAGAATCCATCACGTTCTCTATTGTAACCTGGATGCTCCAGTCCACTATGCAGAAGATTATACTAATATAGATCCCACTCTGGACACCTTAAACCTGTAGCACTGGTATTCTTCCACCAAAACAAAGGATCTATGTTCCTTCCCCTTGAACCTGAGTGGAACTTTTTAACTGCCTTATCTGGTAGAACAGCAGAACGATGCTGCTAGACTTGAAGGCTAGTCCATAGAAGTCAGTGTGAGTTCTTCCTTTATTTTTATCTATATAGGTGTGTGCCTGTGGAACCCAACCTTCACATTGTAAAGAAGCCCAGGTATTGTGCAGAAGTCCCATGCACCTGCTCCAGGCCCACAGCTGTCAGTCAGCGTCTACCACCAAGCACGAGGGCAAATGAGCCTTAGGAGGATTTCAGCACCCACTGTTTATTATAAATATTTAAGGTATACAACATAGTTTTGATATACTTACACACAGTAACATGGTTACTATATGTAGAGATTCCTTATTGGTTGACTGATGTATCTAGTTTATGCTAATTAAGATAAGCTGTGCAAAATGTATAAATAGCTCTGTTGTCCTACAATAAATGGCTCCCACTCCTGCTGTATCAAAGTACAGAAGTTATTCGTCACCCCCCGGTTATTCTGCTGCAGCCAGACTGCAGCAACTATAGATGAGAAAATTAGCATATCAATCATCACACCTGGTTACTCTTCTCTGTGTGTAACTAAAATCTGTCAGCAAATATTCTGGTAGAACACAATTCAGGCTCCGATTTTTGAATACTCCATTTCATAAGATATCACAGAGCAGAAAAGGCCATCACTGTTAAGAGCTGTTTGGATCCCTGACTCATTGAAACTGTGAGAGATCATAAGGGATTCAATGTTTGTCTTAAGTCATTCGATTTTTGCTAATTTGTTACAGAGTAATAGATCATTGATACAATCAACCTGGGAGAAATTCTTCATTGTATAAAACTATTCCAGACAAAAGTAATCATACTTTGCTCCCACATACCCTGCAGGATGCCCTCAAATGCCATTACACTGGCCTATTTTCCCCCAAAGAATGTCCCCAAATCCTGTCCATGGCCATTGTGGACTTCCTCCCTGGCCATCCCCCACCACCTCCTTCTCCGTTCCTCCATCTAGTTATCCTCACTCACAGAGAAGAAGAGGACAAAATAGTTCTATTTTTCCAAATCTATTTCTATGATAGGAAAAAAAAACCACTTTTCCCTGGTACCCTGAGGCTTTCCCTTTTGATTTGGGGAGTTTTGTTTTGTTTTTTTAAAGGACACACTCTGATTGCTTCTTGCTATTTCCATTCCCATGAAGCAATCGCACATCTCCCCAGAGGCAAAGTAGGTATCCATGATTGACTAGAGGAAAAGCCTTGAGAAGAAACGGGAAGGAAGAAAGCTCAGACATTAATATTTCAGAATATTCTCCTGTCGCACATGCCCCTGGCCACAGAGAGACCAACACACGAAGGTTCGGGTGACTCAGCCCAAATCTCTCACATAAAAATAGAAGCCAAATAATAACAAGAGAAGACACGGGCTACTGGTAATCTACTAGAAGACAAGCTGGGGTCCCCTGCCTTTCAGTCAGGGTTGGTACAATTAGCGTTGTGTTTGAGAAACCGTTTGCCAAGACTACCCTGCTTCTGGTAGAGAAGGGAGACAAGTTTTTAGGTAAACCAAAGAGGTCATGATAATGGCTTTGTGTAATCATTTCAAAATTAAATCATAGTGCAGTGATTTACAGTTTCTTCTAATTTATTCTAAACCATATGTGAGACTGGCTGGCAAGGAGATGGGTTTCCAAAAAGTAAAAGGAAATCTTGGTTCCCAGGGACATGTGTATCCATCTTCAAGAGCATTCCCAAATCTTATCTGGTAGGGGTCACTCTGCTGGCATTAGGAGAGGAGGGGACAGGATACATAGGAAGCCTGTGTCACTGAGGCCACCTCCACCTCCACACCACATGGCCACCTGCATGCCACAGCTCCCAGACAACCAGGAAGAGGAGGTGACCCAAAGTCAAGGAAGCAAAATCAGAAGACAAATTTCTAAATCAATGATGCAGTGGACAGGAAAGGAACTTACAGGTTCCCTTCACTTTCCTGTAAAACCTCCCTGACTGTCCATCTGCCTGTCCATGTGCCTGTCCTGGTGCAGAACACTTCCCAAGGCAGCCCGTTCCAGTCTTACACTGTCCTACCATGAAGAGGTGGAAGGTGGGCAGGAGGCTGGGTGGAGTAGGGGATCCCTCAGTGGTCTGGGTGCCCCAGGCCACACTCCAGATCAAGGTAAAAATAAAAGAAATCCAGTGACTTGGTGGTGGCACACTTTCTTAGAGAAGCCTCAGATTAGCTGGCGGTGTCAGCGTCCCCATGTCACTACCTCTTTCAGAATCATGAACATCATGAGGCACTGGGCTTCTTGCTTTTAAGGTAAACAATGACTCTTGCCCAGCGGGGTCCTCTGTACAGGTGCCTGGGGCCCAGCTCTCCTGAAGTACATACACAAATGGTTTCCGTCAATTATTCTCTCTGCGTGAACTTGCAGAATCCCATGCCATGCAAAATGTAGGCAGTTTTCTTGGTAATGTGGCCCACAGGTACAAGGGTTTTCTTCTTCCTTCTCTCTTTTTTTTTCACTTGTTTTCTGCTTTCCACATGGCCCTTTCCCCCGACATACGGGACTTGAGTTCCCTCTTGCCAAGCCATTGTTTATCTTCATAACATATTTTAACTCAGTATGAGCCTCCAAGAATCAAAAGTATTTTTTTGAAAGAACCCAATACTGAATTGTGGATTTGGCGATGGTTTCCTTCTTGCAGCTGTTTGTACACTAGAATTAACACCACACACTCAGTTGGCTTTATAAACTCAAAATCTGAATTACCTCTTTGTTCTCTTGTTTTATTTCTCTGATAAACCAGGTCGACATTCTTCAGGGCCGAGGGGCCAGTGGTCTTGTTTTGCAGAGGAGTCAGGGATGAAAGCAAAGAGTGACGAGTAGAATATTGCCAGTGGGACGGACTGTTTGCCCAGACCTGATGAGTTGTCATAGACAAATTTAAATGGGTAAAACCTGGGACCGGTCAATTAAGCACTGAAAGTAAATGGAACATTTTGAGTTGAAGAAAAGAAACAGGCAAGAGATTACATTAAATTCAAGCCTTTCTTTTAAAAAAAAAAAAAAAGAGCAGGCATATAATAATTCACAGAAGTCATGTGTTTGATTTACTCAACGTCCCTGCAGTAACTATTTCTCATTAACTTACCAAAGTCAGCATTGCTCCTTAGGGGAAAAAAGGAAATTCTGGCATATCAAGGAATAAATAGAACATTGCAGCATTATTCACTGAATCATTTTGGGGCAAATGTAGTGCTGTTTTCCTGTCTTTGTATTCTTTCGAAGTCTATGTTTGTCAATGTCAATTCAACCCTCCCTGAAAACAACAGAGCTACAATTAGAGATGTAAAAACCAGTTTGTGTGTAATTTAAATGCTACAAACTGGCAATCTTCTCATGAAAACCACAAACAATTACTTCCATTCTCATGCACTAGTGCATCTGGTGCCCCACCATTTTGGTCTGGGATTGCATATGAATTGATAGTTAATTTCATAGCTAGGGAAGAAAAAAAGCTACTTTTTTTTTTTTGACAAGGGTGAGTTATTTGCTTTTCAGTTACAGCACACTGCCCTGCTTATGCGGTTCATGTTTTAAATTATACCAACTAACTAAATAACAATTCTTTCCCCTGCTTAACTCAGTTGGGGGGTGCAGGTCACCAACATGTGGCTATTCTAACTCTTTCTCCACATAGAACTAGGTCCTGCTGTGTTGAGAACAGTCAGCAATCAGGGACACCAGGAAGGTGAAGAGCCTTGAATAATATCAAAAAAGGAGAAATGTCGTTTCTGTTTGATCTATACTTTACCAACTCTGATCAAAAGTCGAATAAAAACAAAAAACATTAATGAAAGTAAATCCATCTTTGAACAATCCCTAAATAGGTCTATTGCTCTGAAGGGTACCTTCAATTAAAGAGAGATTGATAGAGTCTTTAAAAGACATGTTTTTTCATCTATTTCATTTTTACATGAAGGAATCACATGTGGGGAAAATATATGAATAAACAAAACCACAGAGATAATGAAAGCCTTTGGTACAACATTGATATGCAAGAGCATCCTTTGGGTTCGCTCGAGAGGAAGTGAGCTTTAACGCAGAGGCATTAGTGATGGGTTTTCTATTTCCTTATTAGAATTAACCTTGATCTGGAAGAAAGGAACTTTTTTCTCCACCGTCAAGTACATATTTCTCTCCACTTAATCTATTCTACTAAAACTTCTTAGGAAATATGGCGTTTACACTGGAATTTATTATTCCTGAAATGGACATTGCTGGAAACCAAACAGCTGAGAAAATCATTTATTGTGGAAGGAAACAAGTC